TTATTGTTAAAATTGTCCGTGTGCCTTATATACTAGGTTCGTAAACCTGAAATACATCAAGTTCGTGTGGCCGAGCGAATAAAGCGCGTGACTAAAACGCGCGTAACTGGATGTTCCAAGTTCGAGTCCAACTGTATTCATAATATTTTTTTGTAAATATTAGGCGAAATATTTTTTTATATAATTATTGAAATTATTCGTGTACTTTTCATGTTGGAAAAATATTTGTATATTTTAAAATTTCGTAGGCATCATCTTTACAAAATATAAAATCATGTATATAATTGCATTTAAATCTCGTTCGCTAAATAACTTTCATTCAAATGTATGTAAAAATTGTAACAATGAACAAAAGCGATGAAAAGATGCCTACGAAATTTTAAAATATACAAGTATTTCTCCTACATAAAAAGTACACGAATAATTTTAATAATTATATAAAAAAATATGTTTCGCCTATTACTTAAAAAAAAATTACGAAAATAAGAGTAGGACAACGTAGAACATCCAGTGTTCTAATCGCATTACTCGCTCGGCCACACGAACTAGCTGTATCTCAAGTTTACGAACCTAGTATATAAATCATACGGGAAATTTGAACAATAATAATATTATAATAAACTTTAGTGCATTGACATAACCACTACTATATAGTACATTAATACGAAAGATATACTAAATATAATACAAGGAGACGACTTGTTACAATTTTGAAGGGACGGGAGGGGGGAAGAGACAGGGAGCCAGAATTACAATATTTTTTTATATTCAATTTTATTACATATATATATTTTTTTTTAGTTTTCTTTATAATAAGATATTAGATATAATAAAATATATATGTTATATTTGCCTGGCACGTATCCCGGCGGCAGTGGGACGAATCCCGGCGACGGGACGTATCCCGCCGACGGAACATATCCCGGCGACGGGACGTATCCCGCCGACGGGACGTAACCTGCCGCCGGAATAAACCCTGGTGGTGGCGATGGAACGTATCCTGGTGGTGGCGATGGTGTTATATATCCCGATATATATGGCGGCGGCGGCGGCGGCACTTGCATATATCCCAGCGCCGTGGCCGCTGGGATATATTGAGAGTTTTTTCGCCGCTCTTTCGCCACCGCCTTTCTTAGAAGATTGATGTTCTGAAACAGAAAGACAATATTATTATTAATAACATAATAAGAAATAATGAACATGAGTTACATGAATGCATACATACATATTGTTTATGTTGAATGCATACATATGCTTGTGTGTGTGCGTGTGTGTGTGTGCGTGCGTGCGTGCGTGCGTGCGTGCGTGCGTGCGTGCGCACTGTGTAAATCAAGAGAAATAATTACTACAAAAATTAAAAAAATAAAAAGAACTTAATATTACCTTCCTCATCGCATTTTTGGATGCGGATGGTGGCGGTGGCCAGAGTGCTACCATTGTCGGTGCCACTGCACTTGCCGGTGGTGGTGCCGGTGCCACTACCGTTGCCGGTGACAGTGGTGGTGGTAGTGGTGCCGGGTTTACTGTTACCAGGCTTAGGCAGCAGCCTAAACTTGTAGCTAAAATGAAATAAAATTAAAAAAAATTATTATTACAGTCTGTTACTGAATGCACACAAGGCGCGGCAATGCTTGCCGCGCGACGGAAGTTGAAGTTGTAGGCATCAATTTACCGTTTTTCATTTGCTCTTATAAAAAAATGGTAAATTGATTGGGTACAACACCAATTTTTCGCACGCTGCAAGCATTGTTATGCTTTCAATATATGTCGCAGCCTGTCTTGCTTCTCTCTCTTTTTCTTTCACACACTTACTCTTCCTCTCTCTCTCTCTTTCTTTCACACACTCACTTTTCCTCTCTCTCTCTCTCTCTCTCTCTCTCTCTCTCTCTCTCTATTATATACATATAAATCTGCAACTATTTGCAGATTTGCTATGTGAACAGTCAATCTCTTATCGCGCATCTGGACGAATTCCGAATGCATTTTGAGAGTTCTCAGTATCACATCATATGTATGTTGGAAACCTGGCTCAAACCGAGTATCACCGATGGTATGGTTTCATTGCGGGGGTTCCAGGTTTACAGGTGTGATAGACTGGGCAGGGGTAGGGGTGGAGTGGCTTTCTATGCGTCAAGCGCCCTTCGGATCAGGATTGTGGGGCAGTCGGGGGGTACATATGTGGGAGGGCCAGAGTATATTATCGCGGAGGTCTCCCCAAGCTATAACTCCGGGGTGCTTCTTGCTGTGGTGTATCGACCGCCTCATTGTGGTGGGCTCTCCGCTTTCTTCGATGTCTTCACTGAACTATCGGTGAATTACAGGCACCTTGTTATCTGTGGTGACTTTAATGCGGATCTGTGCACCTCCACTTTTGACTCGGAGCAGGTCAGATTTTTTGTGGAAGCAACGGATCTCTACTTAGTTCCTTTTGCCCCTACTCATCACACTCGCACGTCGTCCACATTTCTGGATCTCTGCATCATAGATGATACCGATAAACTATTGTCTTATGAACAGCATAATGTCTGTTTTCTGTCCGCCCATGACCTCATTGGTATCAAATTGAATATCAGGATTGAGCGCTTCACTAGACGCAACATTGAGGTGCGCGATTTTCGTGCCTTTGACGAGGCAAATTTTTTGAGGGATCTGGAAAACTATGATTGGAATGCACTCTACACGATAGATGACATCAACGAAAAAATCAGGATGCTGAACGAGGCTCTAATCGACTGCTACAATATTCATGCACCGTTGAGACGGATACAGCCTAGACATCTCCCTGCGCCTTGGCTGTCGGACGAGATCAGGACAGCAATGAGGGAAAGAGACGGGGCCAGGAGAGCTTGGAGAAGGGATAGAACTTCTGTGAAGCACCAGGCGTACAGGGCGCTCGGAAATCGGGCTCAGATGCTGGTGCGCACAGCCAAGGAGCGTTTCTATATGACTGCCTTTCAGGCGGACAAAAAACCTGTTTCAATATGGAAGAGACTCAGACATCTCGGCTTACTTAAATCCAAGGGTGAGGCCAGAAGGCTCGTTGTCCCTGTTGAGGATCTCAATGAGTTCTTTTGCTCCGCTGCGGCGGGCGCGGGAGGAATGCGTGCGCGTTCAGCCATCTATCTCGGTGAGGAGATTTATGAGGACTCCAAGTTTTACTGGAGCAACGTGGAGGACATTGATATAGAGGGCTCTGCGGTGCAACTCTTCTGAGGCTGTGGGTGTCGACGGCCTCTC